GGGGCTTGCCACTGCCTGTGCCGGGGGCAGACAGCCTGGCACACCTCTGCCTGCTGGCACTGGATCTGCCAGGGTGGGCGGGCAGCACGAGCCCCATGGAACACTGCCAGTCTCTGCCTCACCTCTGCTGCCAGTACTTCTGAGTGTTGGGGCCAGGAGAAAGGCTGTCAGGAGTGGAAGTGAGGGCAGCTCATGGGGTGCAGGCTTCCAGCACCTGGTCTGGAGAACTGGAGGGTTTCTCCTTACTCCGAGGAAGTAAGTGTGCTCCCTTCAGGCACACACAGCACCCGAAATAGCCAAGGGGCTGCGTGTCCCTGACGTCTGGCTCAAAATATCTCAAGTGGGCTGGTGGGAGGTGCTGAAGGAGTGGCAGAAACCACCAGCAACCCAGGCTCTCTGCTGAGGTCACCCTTGTCACATCCTCCCCCTGCTCCGGGGCAGAGTCCCATCCGGGCTCAGCAGGAGTGGGGAGGTGAGGACAGCCACAGCCTGCTCCAGAGGGCACGGTGCTGCCAGGGTTGGCTCTGGGCACAGCACTGCTGATACCTCCCCTGCCACCACCTGCCACGCTGGGCAGAGCTGCTCAGTGCCCCATGGCTGCAGAGGCTCTCGGCGCGTGGTCCAGCAATGGCAGTAGGATCCTGTGCCCTGTGGATGCTTCCTTTGCCCAGCGCTTCCTGCCTGCTGTCTACCTGATGGTGATCCCACTGGGGCTGGTGGGGAATGGGCTGGGGCTGTGGCACCTCTGCACGGGGCCTCGGCAGGGCACCCACCAGCCCCTCAGCCTGCTGGTGGGCAACCTGGGGCTGGCTGACCTGCTGTACGTCAGCACACTGCCCTTCCTCGTCAGCTACTACCTGCAAGGCAGAGTGTGGGTCTTTGGGCAGGGTTGGTGCCGGCTCACCCGTGTCCTCTTCCACATCAACCTCTATGCCAGCATCGGCTTCCTCACCTGCATCAGCATCCACCGCTACCTGGGCATCGTGCACCCGCTGAGGGCACGAGGCAGGTGCCAGGGTGCAGCCTCTTCAGTGTGGCTCAGCGTGATGGTCTGGGTGTGGGTCATTGTGCAGGTAGCTCCTGATTTTGCCTTCAGCAAGATGGATGACACAGGGTCACAGTGCCATGACACAACGGGGCACAAGAACGTGAGTGTTTACTTGCCGTACAGCTTGGCTGTCACCGTGACTGGATTCATCATCCCATTCCTCATCATCATCGGGTGCTACTGCCATGTGGTGTTGGTGCTCTGCAGGAGCAACACCGAGGACCTCAGCCTCAGGAGAAGAAGCATCAGACTGGTGATTCTTGTGATGGTTCTCTTCTCCATCTGCTTCCTCCCGTACCACATCTTCAGAAACCTCAACTTGTTGTTTCGTGGCTGGCAGCTGCAATGGTCCTGCACACCAGCTTTACAGAGCATCTACATTTCCTACCAGGTGACTCGGGGCCTGGCAAGCTTCAACAGTGCCCTCAACCCCCTGCTCTATGTGTTTACCAGCAAAGACTGCATGTCACGAATGAGGACCATCTGCCAAAGAGCCAGTCAGTGTCTGGGGCCCACCTTCAGGAGGAAAACCTCTTGCCAGGCCAATGAGAAGACAAGGAGCATCATTCATTGTAAGGAGGAGGCTTCTGATGAAATCTGAGGTACCCATCACACCCTCCCTTCTCCCCCTGCAAAGAATCCACCACTTCAGTTTGTGATCACTGGCTCCCATCCACTCAAGGGACAGACAGGACTGTCAGCATTGGAGTGCAAACTGGGATCAAGCTTTAAGAACAAAGCTACTCAACCCAATCTTTTTGCCTACAGTATGCCAGGGGATAGAAAGAGATGAACATCACGTTTGTTCCAGTCCTGAAGTGTTTCTCTCCAGCCTCCAATGCAGTGGTCTGAGCTGTTTAACATCTACCTCATTCCTAAACACTCATCAAGCTCCTCCATGAATGAGGAATAAGTGTGGAACAATACCTTGTCCCCCCACTGCACTCCCTCTCCACCACTGGACGCGGGTTTGAGACAGAATTCCCTCCTTCACCTAAGGAGAGGGCACTAATTGCATCACAGGACAGCTGAGAGGGTGAGTTTTTGCAGGGGGAGGTGCTTTGGAAATGGAAATACTAATAAAAAGATCAGGTTTTAAATACATGACTAAGCTGTGCCAGTTCCTGGGTTAGTTGTTCCCAGGTGACTGAACTGCTTCAGGATCTGTGGGATTCTCTACTGCCCACCTCCTTTGCAGAGGAAAAAAGATTTTTAGCATTACTCACTGTCTTTTGGAAGAGCATAGAGCACCAATAAATTGGCATTTTGAAGTTTTTGGAGGCTGTTGGTTGAGGGGTTTTTTTTTGGAAGGCAAATGACTGCAGTAGCCTGAACCACTGCTTTCACCAGGCAAATCCCAGTAGAGTGTGGAAACCTTCAGGTGCCTGGCTGCATCTTGCATCCAGCCTTATGAAGGGATTAGCTATGTCTGGTAAAAATTAGACATACAGAAAAAGAGAAGCAATGCTGGTTTGAAGGCAGGATTCAATGGCAAGGACAGTCTGCGTGTCATCACTGGAGCTGGGGGATCTCTGCCTCGGGGTGGGCAGAGGCTTCCAAGCAGCATTTTGGCTTTTGCTCTTGGTGTTACCCACTGTGAACAGCTCAAACATTTCAGTCCCCATGAAAGCAGCAATGTGATTTGCAACAGCAGTTCTTGCAGCTTGGCTAAAGGAAATGGATTGCTCGTTAAAACCTGCCCGTTCTGTGAAAGTTCTGACCCACAGACATTGTGTTCTTTGCCCAACATTTATCTCTGCTGGCTGTTCCTCGAACGGACCCTCCTTTGCTGCAGCACGGAGGGAGCACGGCTGCCTCTCAGCTGACTTAATGTGTCTAAAGTGCAAATAAACACCTCATGCTTTCAGTCTGAGTCGTTTGGCTACTTTTAAAGCTTTGGAGGAACCCTGGAGCCAGCTGGCCTGCGGGCTGGAGCAGGGGCCTCCTGCTCAGGGAGCAGTGATGAGCTTTCCAGGGCTCTGCAGGCAGGGAGCTGCTGGGGGACTGCAGGCAGCTGGCAGGGAGTGATCCAGAACAGGCATGCACAGAGGTAGGTCCCTGGAGTCTGCTCAGCACCAGTCAGGAGTCCAGCAGAGCCCTAAATGTCCAGCTCCCACATCATCCAGAGGAAACCCAAAGACAAAGCTTGAATTCACAAATGAGATCTTCTCTCTGTAGTAGGGAAGATCAGGACATTAGGATCAGATCTGGTCCCTGCTCCTTGCACACAGTCTTCAGATCTGTGCTTCTCCAGAGCTGTGAACTCTTCTCCTCCTTTCCTGAAAAAATACGCCTCTGAAAGTTATCCAAGTCTTCCATCTTCACACATGGATCCCACCCAAGATGCCATAGAACCAGCTCCCACAGCCCAGGGGAGCTGCAACACCCCATCACTGCACCCACTTTGGGAATGATTGATTGAAATAGAGCATTACCACATCCTATCGCTGCGTAGGAAGTGCCAGCAAACTCTGCTCTCACCCCCTGCATCCCTGTGCCCAGATCCATCTTCTCCAGTGCCCCCTCACATCACTGTTAATGATGAGAAGCATCTCTGAGCCCCAGGGACAGTTGCAGCCATAAATCTGCTCATTTTTCTGTGTCTTGCATCTGTCAAATCAGCAAAAGCCATTAACGATCTGTGTGTTGGGCTGATGCCTCAGATACTTGGGTTGTGGTTTGTTTAAATATCTTGCTTTGCATCCCCTTTGATTCTCAATGCTGCTTCCCCCCGTGAATTGGGGGGATGAGCTTCTTCCCTTTATTAGCTGTGTGTGCAATTAAGGGTCAACCACTGGTATATGAACCTCTTTGCAACTGGTGATGGGGCACCAAAGAAACCCTCCTTCCTCCAGCTCTCAGTCCTCCTTTTTCCAGCCTTCCTTCCTCCAGCTCTCGCTACCAGGGAAGCTCCTTCCCTCCCAAAGAGCAGCCACTGCTCTCTGCAGGACATGCAGGTACATGGTCACTGCAGGGGTTCTCAAAATGTGTGGGCACTGCTGACCCTTTAAAACCTCCCCAGGGCTCTTTATGCCCTAGGACCAGAGGGTGAGATTGTCCCTGGAGCAACCAACACAGGCAAATCCTAGTCTGTCATGGTCCCCACTTGTGGCACAGGGAGATGAGGACATAGCACTTATTTGGGAGTGAGTAAAGGGACAGGGAGGGTGGGAAGCTGTCATAATCCGCCTTCCTCTTGTCCCAGCAACTCTGCCAGCCATTGGCAGGGCCATGCACAAGCATTTGCTGCTGGCAGGATGTGGCCAGTGCCCACCAGAGTTGCTGTGCCATGGTTACATCCTGAACTATCACCTCTTCTGCTCTCCTGGCTTATGATGAGCTGAACATTCCTCTTCCCCTCCATTGGCTATTTGTTGCTAGACATTGAAGATGCCTAAAGTCAGGTGAGGGGAATCTCACCTACACCATCTGCTTTTCCTGTATCCTCTCTGCCAGAGCAATGTGGAGCAAGGATCTTGTCTGCAAAATCGAGCTGAAAGCAGGTTTTAAACTCCTTTACCCAGATTAGACACAACCAATAAATCAAACATGGTGGGAATTCTCCTGCTGACATTAATGAGATCAGGATCAAGCCTGGAAATTTGGCAGTATTTCTTGCTTCATTAAATAAACCCCTCTTGGTTGAGGATTTGTTGCAAACACAGTCAGGATTTGTTATGTTACAGAGAAGTTTTGAGCTGACAGCCCAAGGAAGCCAGTCATGCAGAACTAACAGGCACACGTACAGATGCACAGATGTACAGCCACTTTCTTCCTCCCAAATCCATAACTGTTTTTCTTGGCACACAAAACATTCTACAAGAAGAAAATATCACTATCAGCAGCAGCTAAATGCATAGAACTCAACTCTGATTAATTCTTTATTTCACTCTTCACAGATTGGCTAAAATCTGGCTCTGACCAAGCTGCCCCACTCAATTCAGGGGTGTCAGTATGGTCAGTGAAGCCCTGATTGCTAAACAAGCATGAGTTGGCTGTCCTGTGCTGAGAACATGGGCTTGTGCCTTTGTGCCAGAGATTCCCACAGCCTGGGAGAGTGGGAGCTGCTGTGGACAAGGGCTGTGGGTGCTGGGGACTATGCTGCAGGACTGAGATGGTGCACAGGGTTTGTGCAAACAGAGCATCACCACAGCATGAGAACTCCCAGGCCCAGGCGAGGTGTGAAGACTACGTGTGAAGCCTGAGAAGAAGCAGTGCTGCATCTTTTGTGGTGTGGTGGGAGGCTGCAGTGTGCACACAAAAAGGGATGAGTCACTCAGGTCACTAATGAAAGGTCACAATATCCTCAGATTCAGCGAGAGGCATTTATTTCTACAGCAAGACAATTTCATTGCTAAAATACCTTTGGCTGCAGAGATGACTGACCTGATGAGTTATCTTATTTACCAAGGATATCGATCAGACTGGGAAGGAATAGCAGATGCAATTACTCCAGGTGAACTGGGAAAAAAATGGTAAATATACCTGGGGCTGGATGCCATTGGTGAAGATCTTAATAAAAGAGAAAAATCTTAGTCTTTGTCTGTGCTATGCAGAGTGTTTTGGCATCCGGAAGACTAACAGCTTGTGAAGAAGAGCAAATCACAGAAATAGAACAACATTTAGCGTGACTGTGTGAAGCCATCAGTCTAATACTACTCCTGCAGTGTATGCAGTTATAAATAGGTGATGCCATGCAGCGTGGGACCTGGGGAGCTGCGAGCTCAGGAATGCTCGGCCAGCTCGGGCGGCAGCAGCACTGCGCAGCTCCCAGCTGGAGCTCACATTTGTATGTGCACTACAGAGCGACTGCGGCTGCACCCTGCGGGCATGGATTTGGCCTGGAGGACTTGCTGAGCCCAAGCTTCATAGAGTTGTGCCGTTTTTCACACCATTCCTCTAAATATCTCCCAGCAGCAAGCCCTCTGTGCCCCTTGCCATCAGTGCTGATCACTGCTCAAGGCAGGAGCAGGGCAGGGCTGCCCTGTGCACCACAACCAGAGTTGCCTCCTCAGCAACCCGGGAGGAGACTGTACTTGGAATTTCACCCAACACCTCCACTCTGCCATGAACAGGAGACACTCAGGTCTGATCTGGCTCCCTAAAGAGCCCTTCGTGCCAAGGCACAGCCCAGCCAGCATGAAATCCTTCTGCTCGTTTGGGCTCATGGGCAAAAAGTTTACGCTAAGGAGCATCAAAGAGCTCCCAGGCTTCTCAGAGGCACCACAGCTCCTCCTTGGAGAGGCTGCTTCCATGCTGTGCAGAGGATATCCAAGGACAGGAGACTGATTAACCCTGTCCTGGCTGTCTTCACTCTGATGTGGAGGTGCTGCACAGCAGAGGACGGAAAACTGCACACCACAGCTCCCAGTCTGCTCTTACCAGTACAGCACCACTGTGTTTCCAGTACAGGCACAGTGGTGACAAAGTCCCATGGCAATGGGAAGTTGCTGTCATGGAGGAGAGCTCAGCAGCAGGTTTGCTGGTGGTGATGCCAAGAGTCAGTCATTCCTACTGAATGAAGTGTTACTTGGTTTTGGAGGCAAAAATTCCCCTTTAAAATTGTGCAATGCTGGGATGGCCACACAGTGCCATGCTGAG